AAAATCAAAATTACAATATGAATTATACAATATAATATTTCACGAACGAATAAAAATTCAACTTTCCAATCGAACAAATGTCGCATATAAATCGCTATGTACGTCAGTTCTATTTCTTATTTATGATTCCAATAGAATTTTATCGTAGCAGAGCGATTTCGATGACCGAAAATCATTAATAAAACGGTATGCCCCCCTGCCGAGGGAAATGGAATCAAATTGCTTTCTCGTATAATGTTGCAGAATTGCGAATCGACGATGCGAGAAAGTATTCGCATAACTAATAAACCGTCGATTGCGTCATTGCGCGTCAGATATTTACTCAACAAAGAAAAGTAACACGTGTCACGCGTGCTAAACGTAGTTCAAGTTTCGTTACTTTCGATAGAGTAATGATAATTATCATTGCGTCGCGGTCCAATTTGAAAGACTGATATCATTTCACGGAAACGATTGAAGCTTCTTAAAAATTACATACCATATTTATTTACTGTATTATTACCTACATTTGCAGTAGCTACTCAAAGCGGGGTTGTATTCGTGTATTTTACAACACTGGAGGAAAACACACGTTTCTTTAACCAATCTCTCCTCGTGTTAATTGCGTCTATTAATTAGAAAAGGATATAGTTCGTTAATATTACATTAGCTAACTTCCACTTTTATGATATAATGTCACTCGTTTCCATAATAAACTTTGTTGTCATAGTTGAGACAGCCGAAAAAATATACGGTAATAATATAATATGTACTGATTTTAGTATATATTTCTTGTTATGGACATTCGTTAAGAAACTTTTTGTAGTCAGTAATAAAAGTGCACAAAAAATGAAACTGGAATTTAAATAACTTGAAAGTTCAGAGTTTTAGAACAACTGAAATTTTCGTTCTACCTGTTAATGGTAATAAAAGATACCAAATTTTGTTGCATTTTTCATTATACAATAAAATTGTGTCTAGCAAATGATTGCCATTGAATAGTATTAAAAGTTTCAAGAAAACCCACAGGAATATGCCAATTTTTTTTTATATTCATTTCTATTAATACAATAGAAATTATTATTAGATATAATAATTAGTATATATAATAATAATAATTGAATAATAAATATACGATAATAATTTAAAACATACGAATAAATTAAAAATACTATTATATATCACATTATAAATTATTGTTATTATCTCTTCTTTCATATATTTATATTTATTTAATGTAGAATCATTTAAATTGACCTATGATTTTTATACCTAATTGCTTAGAATTTTAATTCTACTGTAAAGCCTTTGACGAAAATATTCCTCAATGTTTGGGAACCACTGCCCTAAATCAACCAAATTCGAAAGGTAATCACTTATGATAAATAGGCATTCAGAATGCAAGAAACTTAGAAAGGTGAATATTACAACGTGCGAAAGAAAACTCTTGAAACGCGACCCACTTAAATCATAAATAGTAAATCTCGGATCGTTTGTATTTAATCGAGACTTTATGACAGTTTCATTAGCGATTAAGAAAATTGAAAAATTAAATAACTGCATTCCCGTCACTTAACCGGTTAATAGCTGATTAGAATTGACACAAGAAAATTTTAATTATAGACGTGGAAGCACTATATATATGCAGGGTTTCCATTAACGTAATTATTCAGATCTAAAATATCTCTATTTCTTGTAGATGTACAAAAACAGTCAAAAGAAAAGACTGATCGTTTCGGAGAGAAAATGTTTGATTATTAGGCTATTTGTCTCCATTAATGTCAATATAGAATTGTATATTTACATTAAAAACGAGCAGGTTACTTTATAGTTTTAGAGAAACTGAATTCAATTAATCAGAACTGTTGAACTGGAAATAGAATGATAACGAATTTCTAACTCTCTATAGTGAAGGTACAAGAATATTACATAAATATTATTTCAAGACAAGATAATCATAAGGTTGACTGCTCTTTATGTGTCGATGAATAATTGTGGGATTGAGAATGACAATGGCATAAAAAAGAATAGAAATTGAGGTACAACATAATTTCACATCCTGTTCACAAAATAAACAATTTTTATCCTCGTTACTTTATCAATCAAAATTAGAATTCTGATTATAGATTGAACCAAATCACAATAAACAAATAAAAATTGCGACTGTTCAATCGAATAAACGTTTCAAAAAAATTGTTAAGCAGTGGTTTTATTCGATATTCATTACTCAAGTAAAATTCTACCCATCTCCGCGTTGTGTATTATTCTTCGCAATAATTTTCAACGTAACTGATTCTTCCCAGTTTCTTACTTTTTCCGCGACTGTCGTTGAAGTCAACTCGGAGTTTGGCTCTGACTCCTGTGCACCCTTAAATTAATTTAAAACAAACACCTTTATCAATATCCAAGTGTAGCTTTCTTTAGATACTGGTGAGGCTGCGATTGATAAACTTAATTATGCGAGCTTTTTACTTTAATAACTTGCAGACCGGTCCCCATCTCGCGATTTAGTTCAAGTCGCACGCTACGCGAGGTAACGATTGCTGTCCATTAGTAGATTGTCGGTGAAACCTTTCTAATTTATAGAATACGATACAAGCCGGCAATATGTATGCATAAATAAACTGGTGTAACCACATTGCAATTACAATGTTGATTAAAGATTAAATTACAGTCGGTTCGCCGACAGAAGCCTCTATACATATATTCAAAAACAGAAGAAAATTGCCGCAGGATGGAATTCTGGTGTTCAAATGAAAACATATTTCTTTTAGGGTGACGACGACATTTCTCTCGAAACGTAAACATCAGCCAAGGACATTGGATACGCAGTGAATCACGGTCAAAATCGACCGAATAGTGATTTTAGAATTGTGACATATACAGAATGGATCATACAAATAGGATGGTATTTTCTCAGAGCGTTGTTTTTTAAAACTACATCTGCCAAAGGATTTCATTGAATTCGGAAAATTAACAAAGTTAAGGACGTGTAAACATAAACAGTATATAAGTATATGTATTTAGTATGGAACCTTTGGTTACGTAACTTCAAAAAGGGACTGTACAGGATCACTTGTATTACGTTTCATTTTGGTTATTCTATTTATTTATCTTAAATACGTGTCCAATATCCCAAAATATCCGATAGAATACGTGAAAATTGACTCCCTTTACTAGAGTAACCCCTTGAACATGTCTCTGATATTTATGGATACACATATAAAAAAGAAACCACTCTATAACATTATAAATTGTTCAATGAAACAAACAGTTACAAAAGAATTCACTCAATTAATTGATCAAATTGATAAAATTTTATCCTGAACAGTATCTGTCGTTGCAGTACCATTTAAAGTTCCAATCTCGTAATGAGCAACATTTAACTGGGATATTAAATAACGAAGAAAAGCACCACGCTTCAAATATAATTATTAATTTAACTTGGAACAAACGGCGTATATTTCTACCCTTTTCTAAACTTGTATCATAATAATTCAATGTCACAGATGTAAACAGACGTTATTCACGTTATCTTCGACAGTTATTCCGTGTTTAGACTCGAAGGGGAAATCGTGGCTCGTAAAAGTAATGAAATGCCGGTTCACGTGCGAGAGGGAGAATTATTACCTCACGCAAAAGTAATTATACCTATAGACGAATTGATGAAATTTTAACACATTAATCCTCTGCAGTACAGATTTTCTGATTTCGGTTCAGTTCTGTCGGGACTGGTCCCTCCGGAACAGGACTAAACATTTTGTGTAGACTGCGCCATCGTGCGGGTCTTTGCCGAAAAAAACCAAATATCGACGTGGTTGTGTACAGCATTTATCTGAAGATCGATAAACCTATGCAGGGTAAATCACCGAAATTTCTACGTTATCTACGGATGATCCTAGTGGGACATATACGTTATACGTATGTTGCAGTGAATACAGGGTGTTAAAAAGAAAGCATTCAATATTTATATGGTGTATAGGGCACACTGTACTGAATAAAAAAAGCTTTAGTAAACATAGGTCCAAAGGTCAACCGTTTCTGAGATATAAACATTTTCGTTTGCTAGTATCATGATTGACTTACTTGCTTCCATCGCATGCGATGTTTATGTCAGTGTTTATAAATTGCGTTCTGAATGTTCCCATTCAAGTGCCGACAATTTCGTCAATTTCATTTTTTCAATTTCGTGTACAGAAATGAACGATGGACACGTGAAAAATCTTCGATAAATATCGAAAACGCAGTAGTAAGTCAATCATGATACTAGCAAACAAAAATGTTTATATCTCAGAAACAACGGTTCACCTTTGGACCTATGTTTACTAAAGCTTTTTTACTCAGTACAGCGTACCCTATACACCATATACATATTGAATGCTTTTTTTTCAACAGCCTGTATATCTGGTTATATACCCGTATGAACACTTGTCTGTTTACGGGGTCGCAGTCACCGTGAAAGGAACGAAATTCTTCGAATGTTTTCGTTTCAAGAAACTATTTCTAGTCGCCGATATTTATAAATATAAGAGTTGACTATTTCTAAATTTTGTACTTTTACAATTAATAAGCAGACGTATTTTAGCCGTTTGCAGTTATATGTCAAGAGTAACTCGACATCACAATAAAAAAAGAAAGAAGCATGCTTTGAATTTCTTCGAGAATTTTTTTCTTATAAATAATAGAAATTCATTTTGTATGTTATTTGCCGAAATTTTGAAATTCATTCCCGTAAAAGTTTTGCTGTATATTCTAACTGAAAAATCTCTATGGAAGAAGAAAGACTTCTCACATGTGTGATATTTGGGAAAGGAACCCGCGAAATTGCATGTCGAAGACTGTTTCAAGCAATATTACATTATGAAAAATGATAAATTACGAACAATAAAGAATAATAAATTATTTTGTTTCAAACTTAAAATTCAATTTCTTGTAACGATCTATTCAAAGTATGCTTCATTAAGCACATTAACGACTGGCAAAACCAGCAAGGACAAGGCGTATAAAAAGTAAAGACTCACCAGAATCCGTCCATTGCTCGATAGAATCATCATACAACGTAGCCCAATCGTTCGTCAAGTCTTTATGAGACGCCATGGTCGATTATCGAGACCTGCACCTTCGACACCTGTTCGTCCAATGGTTCCACGATGAAGAAACCAAGATTTACGCCTCGTAACAATATCGTTTTATGATTTTCGTGTCACACCGAAAACGAAGCCATTTTTCCCGCGTAATGTCGAACGGAACGCACGGTCGACGACGCGAAATTTTGCACAACACACGCGAGCAACGATCCGATGGGAGATGAGAAACGAAGTCAGAACACAAACGAACACTCAAAGCAAATCAACGATTACCTTACGACACCCGGTTCTGGTTTGCTTTTCTTTCTATCCTTGTTCTTTCGTTCACCCGTGTGTACAACAAAATCTCTCGCTCCTTTACTAGTCTCACATATACACGCCTATCCTTGTTTCTCTACTTTCGTAGAGAACCAATATGTATCACTTTTCAGCGGAGGTCGATATCGCCTACTCTACTATTATACTTGTTATTATGGTCCAGAGACTACTACCATAACCCAGTTATTATTAAGTCGAACATTTTCAAACTGATCACACTTGTCGTTACCGCTTCGTACGAATTTGAACTTTTTACACGACGAACACTACAACGATGCGCATGCTCCATCATAGAGTCCTCTTCCACCGAAATTTTGAAACCGGATATTCGTAACCGAAGTCATCGATAATGTGAATATAATCGAACGGAAATAATGAAATATTTTATTTTTTAAACGAATTTTAAACAGAGGTGGGCACAATTCTCATCTAAATAAGAAACCCGATGATCTGAAATACTTTTATTTGTTCTTTTTTTTTGAAAAATTGTTCAATAAAAATTCTAATAAGAAGCGGAAGTACGTAAATGACTTGTATTTCGATCGAATAACGAATCGCTACACAAGTCTTTCTGGTAACGGCGGGAATTTGACTCTGGGTTGAATTAAATAAACGACTTTATCGTTACTTTAAAAGTTTAAAAGTATATTTTCCAAAAGTTTCAATTACGTTTTTTATGCTTCTGTTAACATTATTGTTTTAGATTGTTATTAATTATTAGCTAAACAATTACAGATATAAATAGCTTGATATGTAAAATAAAATAATTACTACAAATTATGCACAATTGTATTTATTTCATGAATAATATTCGATAATGTAAATTATGTACAATTTATTTATGGTTTCTTAACTTTCAAAAAGCCAGCTGTATTTGAAAAATATTTCGCGTTAGCTTCATTGATTTTCTTTTCTGCTGCTTGCGGGTTTACAATTTCCAAACCCTATAAATAAATATAGAAACTTAATTCGATGTTGAAAATTCTACTTTGGATTCAAAATTTTAATAATGAATACATAAATTTTCATTTTAATAAACTCATACAAACCCCATTGAAAATATTAATTATGTCAATAAATATCGGAGATAAATACACTTTTCATCGGACAGTTTATGCATTTTTAAATATTATTTTACCTGTAACGGAGTGAATGCAACACTGGATGCTGTACCAGAAACCTGTTTCTTAACAGTAGTACTACCACCCCACTGTTGCTGCTTTTGTAAATTTTTCTGAAGCGTTTTGGATATTCGCACCTTTGTTTTCTCATCGATTTGAGGCAATCTAATACGACCTGTTCCTGCCTTACCAATTGTGCCACGTGTGTAACCAAGATCTTCTTGATAAGCATCGTTCTCAATCTAAAAACATGAATACGTAATAAAATAAAATAATAATACAAATACTATAAAATATACAATTTTAAAACTAACGTCAGCGAAATTCATTCTATTTGCATGTTTTCTAAATTCGGTAATGGCATAACGTTCTTTCATTTTTCTGACACGTTTACCACCTCGCTTCTTTCGACCTGGATCGATAGGTTTTGGTAAAGGTTTAACAAATTTCACAGGAGGAGGTTCTTGCAACTTATCTAACTTCTTTTCAATTTCTTCGCGAAACATTTGACCAATATGACCATCTGTACTTTCATGACAAGCGTCAACACGGGCAGCTAACATACTTTTCGCTCCTACAAGTCTTGCTGCTTTCCTTCGCAAATCCTAAAAAAGTGTAATGAAACAATAGTGCATTTACAAAAAAATATACACACATATCTCAACTTACTGGTGGAGTATCTTGTACGATATCAGAGTAATATATAAAACCAGTATGGGGTAAAGTCGCTACTTGTGAAAATCCAGATAGTGTAGCTTTTTGAGATCCTAAAACTAGAACATTGCAAGCTGGCATTTTTGAAAGTTTTGTCAATCCTCCTGCAACACCTAGAATATAACAACACCCTGTATAATAAAGTAAATTTAAAAAGCTTTAAAGTTTCAAAGCAATATATTAGGAACTAATACCCATGATTTTTGCTGCTGTCGAGGCACCTACTATTACAGAAAGATTTGGGGCAATGAATGCCATTCTACTTTCTACATATTCAAATATTTTTAGTTTGCAGTTATTCAATTCTACCGCCATATCGCAAGCCTCGCAAATAGCCTCTTTTTCATCTTCTGTTAACAACTGTCTGCGAATAGAATTGTTTTGTTTTTAAAAAGAATTTACTCACATGTGATTTTAAAATTCTAGTCTTGCTGTATATCATATTACCCTTGCGTTGTTGATGCAGTAACTGAAACTACCATAATTGTTGCTTGAGTAAGAAACTGTTGTAATGTTTCATTATTCTTTGCTCTATCTAGGTCATTTCCCAATTCCCTAACAGTCATTACATATTCTAATGGACCAACAACTAAAGACTCTAGTTCTGGAAATCTTTTAGAATATTTGTCCCTAACAAACCGGTGTATTGTAGCTGAAAAATATAATATGTACCTTGCACAAATACAAAAACATCATGAAAGCATTTAAAATTCATAATATCAATTACATACTTATTTCATCATCTATATCTACAGCCATGTTATTAGCTTCGACGATGAGCTGATATTCTGGATCTGACTCAACAGGACCAATAATATCTACCGACCTCCTAAGAACTTTACTATACTTTTCTATTAAACGCATTACTCTTTGTAACTGCTCTGAATCACGTAGTTTCGCTAATTCTCTTACAGAAGCTACTTTTATTTCTGAAATTCGGATTAAATATTAATAACATAAAATTCCTGGCCGTAGTATATGATATATTTTTAAATTAAAGAACAAAAAATTCAACTATTACAATTTTTTAACTCAATAAAATGATATCGAAACGTTTTAAATACGTTTTAAATATCCATTGAAACGTGTATTTACGTCAAACTACATTATTCCTTAGTTTGAATTTACATTCGACAAATATTTATTAATGAATTCTTTAAAGTAAACGATGTTATAAAGAACAATTAACCTTCTTCGATGTTTTTGGAAACCGATGCCGGAATAAAATCCGGCTCCGGTTCTTCCATATCATGATCAGAATCATCATTTTCTTCAAGATCTGCTAGAAGTTCATCCGCTAACGACATGATTTCTTTGCAAACAAATTTTGTTAAAGTGTAAATACAGTTTTAACCTCTTTTATTTGACACCTAACCAAACTGCCGCAGGACAATTTTCACTACAAACTTGGGCGTTTTCCCACCGATGGCGCCACTAACCGAGTCGATACTTATGGCAGCACTGAATAATTATTTATAAAAATGATACAAAGCAAAGAATATTGACATCGGACAGAAATGGTAGGAACTATTTTCACAACATTTTTGGCGACAGCCATTTAGTTTTAATTTATATCGACTTATTATTTATACAAATAGTGTAAACTATTTGCATAACAACTTTCTCATTATGTCTTATTATACATACTTTAGACTAATTATAAGTTCTCATACTTTCATTTACTTGTAAACTAGAAAGATTGCAGCCATTAGCTCATATTATTTAGTATGCAATTGATAATGCCATCTGGCCTTACTGGGGATGTGCAGTTAGCAATTACATATTTATTGCATATAGAGACCCCAAAATTGGAGACAAAACCACGTCCTGAGACAAAAACCACATCCTAGCCACCTTTATCCTTAATCTAAATGTTGTGCCCCCCCCCCCCCCCCCCGCCCAAGCCGGGGGTGTATAGCAGTGTTTTTATTGTCAAATAGTACATTCACAATTTAGTTCAGTCACCTGCAACAGAAGAAACGTATATTATTCTCTATTCTTCAAAAATATAAAAAAAAATCCGTAGGTCTTCTTTTTTTTGTTCCTGCCCTAACTAAAAATACGAAGTTACTTCAAAACGGACGCGATTTATCAGACGCAACACTAATAGCAAACGCGATTCATTATTATTCGCAACACTACCCTGAAAGAAAACGCGAAAAATACTACTTGAAAATATGTGAATTATTTCAAATCGGACGCGATTTATCAGTCGCAACACTAACAGCAATCGCGATCAATGTTTATGCGCGACACTACCCTGAAAGAAAACGCGAAAAGTACTAATCAAAAGCAATCGCGAGGTGCATCATTATTCGAAAAACTAATCTATTAAGTATAAGAAGAACAAATCGCGTGCACCAAGTAATACGAATCCCTGATTAAAAATCCATCGCAACCATCTCAGGCTGCGGAGAATCATAGTGGCAGCCACTTTGGCTGCTTGGTGATTCCTCAAGTGATGATGGTGTCAAATTTTGGGCTTTTTATATGACGCAACACTAATTCAAATCGCGTGAATTTACAACAAATCGGTCGCGATTCATTTATGCGCAACACTAATGGCACTCGCGGCTGGTCTTTGAACGCAACTCTACCCTGAAAGAAAACGCGAAGAATTTTAATCAAAAGCTAAATTGCCTCTAAATACTACTTCCAAACGGACGCGATATTCATTATACGCAACTCTAATAGCACTCGCGGTTGATCTGTTTTACGCAACACTACCCTGAAATAAAACGCGAAAGATTCTATTCAAAAGCAAGACTCTTAATCATAACAAATCGGATGCGATCAATATTCATTTACATAAACGCAACTCTAATGGCACTCGCGGTTGATCTTTCATACGCAACACTACTCTGAAATAAAACGCGAACAATTCTAATAAAAACAATCTTCATAAACGAACGCGATTTATAGTTTCATGTCGCAACACTAAAACCAAACGTGAATTGCCACACAATGATATCCCACGCTGGGGTACATGACCCATCAAAATAAACTTAAATTACTACAACTACAGGCGAGTACAGTGACAACATAGTAATAATGACTTCCCATTTTCGAATTCGAAGATGGAGAGCCATTCGTTGCAGCCCTTTCTTGTGACAATTTGTCAGGGCCTCTCTTCTTTCTTCGGACGCATTGTCCCATCTGAAACTTATAGCTAGGATCGAGGTTCAGTGCAATACGTGGACGTTCAACCCGGTGAACCACACGTCTAGAACCTCGAGGGAACGAGCGTTTCGAAGAACCCTACTGATCACGACCGCGACCGCGAAGCAACGACTCAGAGAGTCGAGACCTGAAGAATCGATAGCAGATTCCGAAACAAACGAACAGAAGCTCTGTTTGCATCGTGATCGCAACGACTCCTCAAATCCACCTACAGGTGCAGACCCATCACGTACGCGCGCGACCTACCCAACTAAAGTGACGAGATCTGCCCTGGACCCTACCTACTGGGATTTAACATACACACCAGAAGTTAAGTTACCTACCTACCTAGCCCTATATTTAAAAATGGCAAAACAATCACACCAACACACACGCTCAACGATCCTCAATCAAGGCTCTCGGGCGCGACCTAAACTAGGGAGATGTCCCGGGACACCTCCGACACCCGAGGATACCATACGCAACATTCGCACTCTAAAG